CGAGAGGTGCCTACAGCGACGATACTAGCCTCGGCTGCAAGCAGTTCCTTCTCGAGGAGGTCTACGGTGAGTTCAGTGGGGGAGCGAGAGAGGAACTGGTCCCTGACAGGGCGCAGAGAGTCAGGGAGGCGGGTGACAACGTGGTAGAGAGTGATCCAGAGCGGGGGGGGGTTGCTAGCGAGGAATCACTGCTTCCGTCTTCTACCGGTCTTCCCCTCCTGCCTGAATCACTGCTTCCTGCTCCTTCTCCTTACACTGAGCAGTCAGGAGGTCTTACTGAGCGTCGTGAGCCTGCGTCGCGTCCTGTCTCGCCAGTTCGCTCTGGACGCACCGTTCGTCGTGGTCCGCGTTCGCGGTCGCCGTCTGTCCCCCGCACGCGCCTTGTCGTTCGTCGTTCTTCCTCTGTTCCGCAGTCTGTTCCTCTGCCGTCCCCTCCTGAGTCGTCTTTGCCTCACGTTCCGGACCCTGAGTCTGACCGGTTTCGTGCTGAGCACCCTACTGTCACGCGTCTGCTAGCCACTGTTGTCACTGACCCCTCGTTTGAGTCTTCTGCTGCGTCTGCCTTGGTCGCTGAGCTAGTTGACTTTGCTGCTGCCTGTCGTCTCGACTACGCTGCTAGCCTTGTTGCTGAGTCTGAGTCTGTCTGTCCTCCGTCTGTCGGGGGTGAGTGTGCTCTTGGCACGGACATCCTTGAGGACAGGCACGAGGACCTTGAGTGTCTTGCAGCCGCTGCGCCTCATCTCGTGGCCATGCTACTTGCCCCTGAGGGAGACCCGGATGCTATAGACATCCCCACACCGCGCTCTTACGCTGAGGCGATCGCGGGTCCCTACTCCTCTCAGTGGCAGGCAGCCATGGACGCAGAGATGGCATCCTGGAAGTCCACTAACACTTACATCGACGAGGTTCCCCCTCCTGAGGCGAACATCGTCACTGGCATGTGGATTTTCAGGGTGAAACGGCCGCCAGGTTCTCCGCCTGTCTTCAAGGCTCGCTACGTTGCTCGAGGCTTCAGTCAGCGAGAGGGAGTAGACTTCTTTCAGACCTTCTCCCCCACCCCGAAGATGACAACTCTTCGGGTGCTACTGCACGTTGCTGCTCAGCATGACTACGAGCTTCACTCTCTTGACTTCAGCACAGCTTTCTTGCAGGGCAGCCTGCACGAGGAGATCTGGCTGCGCCGCCCTCCTGGCTTCACTGGGTCGTTTCCTCCTGGTACCCAGTGGAGCCTCCGCCGGCCGGTCTACGGTCTCCGCCAGGCGCCACGTGAGTGGCACGACACACTGAGGATTACTCTTGCGACACTTGGGTTCGTGCCTTCTACTGCTGACCCGTCGCTGTTTCTGCGCACAGACACTTCGCTGCCGCCATTCTACATCCTCGTGTACGTCGAAGACTTGGTCTTTGCCACTGCTGACACTGAGGCTCTCACCCACGTGAAGTTGGAGCTGCAGAAGAGACACACGTGCACAGACCTGGGTGAACTGCGCAGCTACCTTGGCTTGCAGATCACCTGGGACAGAGCACGCCGCACCATCACACTGACTCAGTCACACATGGTGCAGCAGGTCCTTCAGCGTTTCGGCTTCACCTGGTCCTCAGCACAGGCCACTCCTCTGGCCATAGGTCACTCGCTCTCAGCTCTGCCTTCGGATGAGTCCGTAGAGCCGAGTGGTCCTTACCCAGAGCTAGTTGGTTGCCTCATGTACCTGATGACTTGCACTCGTCCTGACCTAGCGTACCCTCTTGGCCTTCTGGCTCGCTACGTGGCTCCTGGTAGGCACCGAAAGGTGCACTGGGATGCTGCGAAGAGGGTATTGCGCTACTTGTGCAGTACATCGGGCATGGGGCTCGTGCTTGGAGGAGGGAGCTTAGTTGTTCTCACTAAGCACTCAGACGCTTCTTGGGTTGACGACCAGGCTACTCAGCGGTCGTCCCAGGGTTACACCTTCAGTCTTGGCTCTGGGTCAGTTTCTTGGCGTTCTACACGTTCGTCTTCAGTTCTCAGCTCCAGATGTGAGGCTGAGATCTACGCCACAGCCATGGCTGCTCAGGAGTTACGCTGGCTCACCTACCTGCTGACCGACCTGGGAGAGCGGCCTCGTTCTCCTCCAGTTCTGTACGTCGACAACAAGGCCGCCATTGCCTTGTGTGAGGAGCACAGACTGGAGCACAGAACGAAGCACATCGCTCTTTGGTACTTTCTGGCTCGAGAGTTGCAGCAGCGTGGTCAGCTTCATCTGCGTTACGTGGCCACTCAGGCCAACACTGCTGATATATTCACCAAGGCACTCCCGCCTAGTGATCATCAGCGCTTCTGCACTTTGTTGGGGCTTGTGCCCACTTTTCCTCACTTGCTGTAGACTTTGCGTGTACTGTGATCTATATATATATATATATATATATATATATACCTGCATGCTTGCTAGATATAGATCACTGTGATGCTTGTGTTACATATATGCCTCTGCATGTGAACTGGCCTTGTGGCTCTTTGCTTGTGCTCAGAGTGTGTGGTGACGTTGTGATCCACCCTGGGCTTGCTTGCCTTTCTTGACTGGTCTTGTGACCCCTTGCTCTCCCCCACTTTGCCTATGGGGGTGTGTCAAACATTATACTTGTGTTGTTGCTGTGTAGGCTACAGTGGGTTAGCCTTTAGGGGGTACACAATTCTAGGGTTTTGTATTTGTACTCCCATCTTCTCATAGTGCACACACTTCTCTCATTCTGACAAGGTGTGCAGGAGGTGCAGCCGACCATCTGCAGAGGGTGACATCGACTTCGTGGTCGGGTACGCGGGAGGTGCGGCTGACCGTTCGCAGAGGTCGACGCCAGCCTGGGCGTGCGGGTCGAAGGAGTTGGTCGACTTGCGCGGTACCACTGTGATATCAAAGACGAGGATGGTCGACGAAGTAGTTCGACGACCAGGTTGGGCTTCGATGGTCGTCGACCACGAAGGTCGTCGACCTATGGTGACGGAAGTTATCGATCCCCAGGGTCACCGGGGACTTTACCCGGTCGACGGAGTTACCTGCTCGACGAGGTTCTGCGGAGGTGCGCGAACGTCGTCGAGGCTGCTGTGGCGAAGTCGACCGACGTGGCAGCACGTGGTCGACGTGGCTCGTCAGGTGCAACCGTCAGCGTGTGGCCGACCTGGCACCTGCACAATGTGCGCGACACTGTACGTCGTGCATAACTGTCTACAAGCACCTGCGAAGTAGGTGCTTGCACATGCGTTCACAATCACCTGCAGATGCAGCGTTGGCAATCCGCGTGGGTGTAGCGTTGGCTGGCCGCCATTCTGCGACGTTGGCAAGTCGCGCACGAGCTGCGTTGGTCGGCCGCAGAGTTGCTACATTGGCAGGTCGACGACTTTGTCGTGCTGGCGGTCGACCTGCCTGTATGCTAGCAAACCTTGCATATGATATAGTCATTCTTGCCATAGCTTGTTCAACCATTCTGTATTATCAACTTTTCCTAGTGAAACTCTTGTTGTTTTGCCCTGACAATGCACAAGTGCTGGAGAACACAGATAGAGCTACGATCACTCTCACAACTCGTGCCTACCCCACCGTTATAGACTTACTTTCCACATAGCTCCGTCAGTGTCGGGATGTTTGATAGTCATGTAACCCCGGCCCCACTTGAATTTCAAGTGGACCCACAAAGAGTGTTGGTGCTCTCCTCTTACACCCGATTGTTAGTTTCGTGTCTCTGTTCACATTCCATTTTGTTCCCCGCGTTATGAACTACGATGCACAGAGGGGTTACTAGCGACACTTGTCAGGTGCCGCAACCAATAATGTTTGTTGTTTCTTTACCCTTTCGTGCCTGACCACACTGTAGCATTCAAACCTAGTGTAGAAAAGGCTCCGCCAGGCATTTCAAGCTGGGCCTAGGTTCACAATTTTGCATTCTCGATATAATCTTGGACATGAGGGAAGAAAGTGTGCCTTTATACTGAATATTGCCGTGACAGTAAGGAATTATTATGCATTCCTTACCGCATGCTTCAAAACCGCGTACAGCAGCAGCCGTTGTTCGCCTGTTACTTCTAACGCGGCTTCGCCAGCCTTCGCGCGCACTATTCACCAAACCATGCATCGCTGGCCCGGCCGTGTCGGCCTACGCTTTGGGACTAGCCCGAACTTCGATGCTAGCATCGCACTAGCTAGCTCACACGCAACTCGTTATCGTTTGTATGTTTCGTGTGTAAGTATGCGCTCATACTTTGTACTCGTTTGACACCCTAGTGCAATTCTAGCTACCTGAATTCACTGAACCCGTAATCACGCTGTCGGCGCGGGAAATGTCCTCTCCCAACGGGAAATGCCATCACGCTCCACCTGCTCGCAGACCCATTGCATGGACCCAACCCGTTTGTCTTTTCGCGACGTTGCTTTTCTTTCCCCTCGCTTTATCGAGATATTTCTGTGCTTATCCTCGCAGAGTCCCTCGCACACTCGTACACCCTCGCACTCTCTCTCGGACATCCTCGCACACTAGGTCGCATGACTCTCGCACATTCTCGCACGCAAACACAAACTTGTTCTCATCTCAAGCATTGTGTGCATGCCGAAATGACACGGGTACAGTGGGACATCTTCGCTCCTCTCCTGGCCCACTGACATATCCAATGCACCTGTCAACCTTTCCGTTGTCAGAATTTCTCATCTTCAGCGGTCAGTTGTCAGGTGTCAAACAGACTGTAGTGTAGTCACCTTGTTTTTTGCTCCATCTTCTCCTACTCGCAGCATCTTCACGGATATGTCTTCTGTGTGCCCTGTGTTCCGTACGTTCAGGAAGTGCTTAGTCTAAGTCGTCCGTCTGTTCCTCGTGTGTGAACCACGCTGACGCTTTAGGTTCTAGCAAACCGTAAGTTCCGTCCGTTCCCGTCCGCATCACAGCTCCACTTGGATTCAGGAATCATAATTCGAAGTTTGAGATTAAGAATTCCAAGATTTACGATTCATGATGGCTTTCCACGCGGGCTCCTCGCCATGGCGATTCTCGCGAGCTTGTTGGTAACAGCCGTCGCGCGAATCAGCCGCTACGACAGCATGCTGGCCATGCCAGGAGGAGAAGGGCGAGAGGCGTTCCGGCAGTTTCTGAAGCGAGGGTCGAAGACGCACAAGACGAGCGTGACTAAAGACAGCGAGCCGCAGCAGGAGGGAACTCGCTGGGCGCTTCTTATCGCCGGCTCCGCCGGTTACGGAAATTACCGCCACCAGGTGGGTCCATCTGGTCAGCAAGCCTTTGAAGTCCTTCAAAAACTTCCTAAGCTAAGATAAACGGTTCGGGAGCAGCCGATTTTCCCCACTCAGGCGCTCGCCTCTCAATTAAGGAAGCGATATGTGGGCTCCTCTTTTCTATCTTGTTCTTAAAATTTCCTGAACTGAGCATAATTGCCCTCTTGATGTTGATATCTTGCACCACTTTGACGAGTTTGCAAATTGCAAGCAGATTTGTCGCACGCGTACCAGCTGTTTTTTTTTTTTGGGTTGCGAAGCAACCCTTTACGATCGATTTTGCCAAATTTTATTTTCATGATTAATTAATTTATGAAAATCATGAAATTAAAATTCGTAAGCTACAGTAATACTCTTCACATACTGTATGCATGTTTAGCAGTTTGGTACTGTTTACAGTGCATTAAATCATGTGATATTTTTGCAGTTGTTAGTGCAGATTTGCTGTACTGGTTGCATGTTTTACTGTTCTATTGTGGTAATGATAAACAGATGCACACTTGATGCATAAATGATGCTATAAGATGCATAATTTTTAATATAATACGTCCATGTTTTACTATTAGATGCTATTATGATAATGATGAATAGATGCATGCTTAATGCATAAATGATGCTATAAGATGCATAATGTACGGTATGAGACGTCTTGATGCATATGTACATATGGTAATAAAATGCGTGACAGTTAACTACCCAAAAACTAAGCTACCGCCATCCCCTGCCTAGCATGGGGGGGAGGTCAATAGCTTGGCTTTTGAATAATCAACAGTCACATGAAACAACACAGTCTGTATATTCTAAAAAAATGGTCAAACCTATCAAATCCAGTTCGAAGTGGTCGCACACGAGTCACTTTGTGCGCCAATGAACCTTATGTGAAATGATAGACTTGAGCCATCTTTTTAAAATTCACAGACATGCATTGTTATTGCGATGGATGTGGATGAGTGCACGTACACATAGCACACACACACGCACACACATACATACATACAAACGCATATACAACATCACACACATTCACAAAAAGAAAAAAAAAAAAAAAAAACCTAATGCACAAACTGCAAAACAATAAAACATGTGAACATCAATACAATACAATTTTACAAGTCACCACTACTATCCACTTCACATGAACTCTTCGCTTCGCAGATGTACACATCTTGAAAGAAAGTCAAAGAAAAATCTGGAAAAACAAATAGCAACGAATGAAGCAGAGGGAAAGATGGAACCGGGGGGGGAGGAGAAAAGAATTATCAAATCGCGAAGAAAATGGAAAAAGAAAGCAAGGCAGTGAGAGAGAAAAGCATAATAACCAAACAGGATGCAAGCTAATGGTGGTGAACATAGATATACATAAAAAAACAGAACCCAAAAAACAGAGCAAGTAACAAAACAGGAAACAACGATATCCCTTAGGTGTGGATTTCACAGAGAGAGAGAGAGAGAGAGAGAGAGAGAGAGCGAGAGAGAGAGAGGGGAGAGAGAGAGAGGAGAGAGAGAGAGAGAGAGAGAGAGAGAGAGAGAGAGAGAGGGAGAGAGAGAGAGAGAGCGAGAGAGAGAGAGGAGAGAAGATAGACGAGTGAGAGAGAGAGAACGAGACCGAGAGAGAGAAACGAGAGAGAGAGATCGAGAGAAGAGCGAGAGATCGAGAGAGAGACATCGAGAGATAGAGAGAGAGAGGGAGAGATAGAGAGAGAGCGAGCTCAGAGCCTCTATAGGAGAGAGAGAGAGAGCGAGAGAGAGAGAGAGAGAGAGAGAGAGAGCGAGAGAGAGAGAGAGAGAGAGAAGATGAGAGCGAGGAGAGAGAGAGATTGAACCGACGAGAGACGAGAGAGAGAGAGAGAACGAGGGAGAGAGAGCTCTTGAGAGGAGGAGAGAGAGAGAGATCGAGAACGATAGAGAAGGAACACCGAGAGAGAGCTGTGAACGACAGAGAAGAGAAAGTAGTAAGGCGATACAAAGTGAGGCGGACAAAGGAAAGAGGTGGGCGGACGAGGCAGAGGGTGACGAGCGAGAACAGTTGGCCAAGGAGAGAGACGCCATACGAGAATGAAAAGCAATGAGATTATGAAGGATTTTGAATAAACCGACAGAAATCTTAGGCCTAAAGCGACTTCGCGGCAAATAGGAGGATATGACGGTTCTAGATCTAGGAACAACAAAAAGTGAAAATATGCATACGACGTAGAGACGAAAGGCAGAGAAACGATGAAAACAAAAAAAGAAATAGATGCTAGATATGCAGTAGAGACGACGAAGATATGACCTAAAAAATGTGAGGAAAAAAGGCGAAGTCTTTACAATGGGCCTCTACCCTTAGCTTAAACAAGCCGCATCCTTTAGAAACAGTTAAGACACGAGATTAGGAGATGTTAGTCAATGAAGAACCGGAAAACGGATGCAGGCTTATGGAAAACCTGCAGCTAAATTTTTTGCAGCAAGTTTACAACCTAAGCCTTAAACGACTTTCATCCTTTAGAAGCTACCAACACGAGCAATACTAACATGTCTTAGGCCAACATTCGTCTAGCTCTTAATCGTCTAACTTAATCTACTTGATGGGTTAAGGTAGCTCTCACCTTAGTAGGATAGGAACTCGTTCTGGTAGGTAGAGTCAAACATGAGCGAAGCTCAGCCAGCGAGGGAGAAGAAAAGGGAATAACAAACCCTAAAAAGGTGTCAGATTCGTCGCAAAGCTAATCGACCTAGAAAGAACTTCGAGTTGCTTAACATAACAGTGTTGGCGCAATTAGTTGAACTTCGATGTGCTATCGAAAAGTCTCCAGTTCAGTTCCTGCAGACGACACATTTCGAAACCTGACAATAACACGCACAGTTTCTTACAGTTTTTTTTCACGACGCTACAGAATATCAGAGGCTTTAGCGCAGACGGTATAGTTGAAAAACTATTCGAAAGGTTTCAGGTTCGATTCCTGTTGTCAACTACCACGGAAGGAGACTTTTGCGCGAAATTGCAGACGTAAAATACACTTGTTTGTCGATATCGTCACGCAAACAATCCAAACGCCTTCTGACGTCAAAGTATAAACGCCTTCTGACGTTAAAGTATAAAAACATTTTGATTTTAAAATCAAATAATATGAACATAACAAGAATAACCAAACACAAATAAGTTCTCAAGAAGCACATATTTTATACATTGTGAAACAACCAAATCTGTACTCTAAACGACCACAGCGATTCAGTTATATAATCATATATTATATGTCATGTGTTTCTATAAATGGAAGTGTAATTCATTAAAAAATAAAAAACATGTTACAACCTGTTGCTTCGCAACCCTAAGACGATTTAGTCGCCTCTTGTTTGCAGGCGAACGCGCGCCACTCGTACCAGCTATATTTCATATTTACGATTATTGTCCGCCTATTATTGTCTTGTTTCACATCATTTTTGCGGTTCTGCAACCGCCAATTTGCAGGCGGACGTGTGCACAAGTACCTGCTGCTTCTTCGGAATCATTACTTTCACTGTCCATAATTTACATCACTCTCGCAATTCTCCATCTTCCTATCTGCAGGCGGATGTGTGTCACGCGTACCAGCTGCTGAGGCGGAACGGCGTGAGGGGAGCACATAGTGGTGTTTATGGTGGACGATATCGCGCACAATCATGAGAACCCGCACCCCGGCACCATCATCAACCGCCCCGACGGACCTGACGTCTACCACGGCGTTCCCAAGGTGCGTCCCTCCACGGCGTTCCCAAGGTGCGTCCCCTCCACGGCGTTTCCAAGGTGCGTCCCCTCCACGGCGTTCCAAGGTCTGAGATGCGTTTTCCATGGTATTCTCATGCATGGTACTCCCAGGTGGGTGCTGCACGGCAGTCCCGGAGGGGGGTAAGAAAGGAGCACATAGTGGTGTTCATGGTGGACGATATCGCTCACAGCCAGGACAATCCGCGCCCCGGCACCATCATCAACCGCCCAGACGGCCCCGACAGCTACCACGGCATTCCCAAGGTGCGTCCCCTTCACGGCGTTCCAGGTGCGTCCCCTTCACGGCGTTCCCAAGGTGCGTCCCTCCACGGCGTTCCCAAGGTGCGTCCCCTTCACGGCGTTCTTAAGGTGCGTCCCCTTCACGGCGTTCCCAAGGTGCGTCCCCTTCACGCGTTCTTAAGGTGCGAGAGAGAGAGAGAGACGCGTCTCTGGTTTTCAAGGTCAACATTGATTGCGCGCAGCTACTACAAACCGCGCGCAGCTACGCACGACAATGTCAACCACCGGCACCCTGGCAGGCACCATCACAACATCAACCGCCTCCGCGTAACAACGACTACCACGTGTCCACTGTAGCACTGCTGGGAAACGCTGTTCCATCAACCCTCTCCTGATGTGTCGTCATCCCTCTCCTCTCCCATCTCAGGACTACACTTGCGGCACGTGACAGTGAATAACTCATAGCAGCACTGCTGGGAACGCGTCTGCCATCAACCCCCTCCTTTTCTACCCCTGCCCCTTCCGTCTCCCCTCTCCCCCGTCCTTCCCACATCTCAGGATTACACGGGGCGGCACGTGACAGTGAATAACTTCATAGCAGCACTGCTGGGGAACGCGTCTGCCATCAACCCCCTCCCCGCCTTCCCCTGCTCCATCCCACTTCCTCATCCCACTTCCTCATCCCACTTCCTCATCCCACTTCCTCATCCCACTTCCTCATCCCACTTCCTCATCCCACTTCCTCATCCCACTTCCTCATCCCACTTCCTCATCCCACTTCCTCATCCCACTTCCTCCTCATCCCACTTCCTCCTCATCCCACTTCCTCATCCTTCCTCCCCTTCCTCATCCCACTTCCTGCATCCCACTTCCTCATCCCACTTCCTCATCCCACTTCCTCATCCCACTTCCTCATCCCACTTCCTCATCCCACTTCCTCATCCCACTTCCTCATCCCACTTCCTCATCCCACTTCCTCATCCCACTTCCTCATCCACTTCTGCACTACTACCCACATCTCAGGACTACAACGGGGCGGCACGTGACAGTGAATAACTTCATCGCAGCACTGCTGGGGGACGCGTCTGCCATCAACGGCGGGAGCGCAAGGTCATTGCGAGCGGCCCCAACGACCATGTGTTTGTGTACTACAACACGACCATGGCGGCCCGGGCATCCTGGTGCGTGAATTTGGTTGGGTGCATGGGTACATGAGTCGTTGGTGACTATGAGGGAGGTGTGTTGGTGCGTTGGTGACTGCATGAGTCGTCTTGAATTTCTGTGAAGGAGCGGCCCCAACGACCATGTGTTTGTGTTCTACACCGACCATGGCGGCCCGGGCATTCTGGGTGGGTGGGGGGATGAGGTGGTGGGTGGGTGCGTGCGTGAGTGCGTGGTGGGTGGGTGGGTGGGTGGGTGGGTGGGTGGGTGGGTGGGTGGGTGGGTGGGTGGGTGGGTGGGTGGGTGGAGTGGGTGGTGGGTGGGTGGGTGGGTGGGTGGGTGGGTGAGTGGTTGCGTTGCGTGCGCGGGTAGGTGAGTGCATGAGTCTTCTTCGTCGTGGGTAGCGGCAAGGTCATTGCGAGCGGCGCTGACGACCATGTGTGTGTCTACTACACTGGCCATGGCGGCCGGGCATTCTGGGTGCATGTGGAGTGATGTGTGGGTGGGTGTGGGTCGATGTTTAACCGTCTTGAGAAGTATTGGTGGTCTTCTTCGCTCCTGCCCCTCGTGGGCCCCTCGTGGGCCCCTCGTGCTTCCTGCCTTCCCCGTGTGTAATCTGCTGTCCCCATGTGTTGTCCTTGCCTTTCGATGTGTCACCCTCCCCATGTCTGTTCCCCTGCAGGCATGCCCGAGCCCTCGTTCCTCATGGCTGACCAAGTGGTGGGCGATTTTGGCAGTTTTGACAAGTGACCATGCCTCGCAACCCCCCCCCTTCTGTCCGTCCTGTCTGTTCCTGTCTGTTCCCTGCAGGCATGCCCGAGCCTCCGTTCCTCATGGCTGACGAAGTGGTGGGCGAATACGACAGTCTCGATACGTAACTTGTGTGCATCATCTGCTCCTGCCCCTCGTGCTGCCTGCCTGCCTTCCCCATGACTGTTCCTGTCTGTTCCTTCCTGTCTGTTCCTGTCTGTTCCCTCCAGGCATGCCCGAGCCCCCGTTCCTCATGGCTGACGACGTTGTGGGAGCGCTGCAGAGGAAGCACCGCACAAGGGCTTTAAGGAGCTGGTGAGCGTTGCTTGGGGGAGTGTTGGGAAGGCGCGGGATTGGGGGTTGGGTGCATGGGGGGGTGACGATGTGGTGGAAGTGCTGCAGAGGAAGCGCGTTGCCAAGGGCTTCAAGGCTAGGGAAATGGGGAAAGGGGGGGAGGTGGGGAAAGGGGGGAGGTGGGGAAAGGGGGGAGGTGGGGAAGGGGAGTGGAGCACCCACACCCCACTCCCCTTCCCTCTCGCTCCCTGGTAATCCCACCACGTGCTTTTCTGAGTCGAGGCAAAGGTGGGGGAGGTGGGGATGAGAGCAGCTGCGGCACATATTGCCCAGGGATGAACCCTGGTGCGTGTTTTGAGTCGGCTCAAAGCACAGCAGGCCTGCTGGGGCACGTACAGTACAGCATCCTTTCTCATGCCTCCACGAATAATCCCCCCTCTCCTCTCCCGCACTACCTCCTTTTTTTCTGCGGGTGTTCTCTATCTCGAGGCATGCGAATCAGGCAGCATATTCGAGGGCCTGCTGCCTGCCATCCAACATCCACATCTTCCGCCACCGCTGCCTGGAACGCCACCACCGCCACCACCACGCCCTATGATACTCCCCATTTCCCTCCCTTTCCCCCCGTTCTTGCCTTGCAGGTTTTCTACCTCGAAGCATGTGAGTCAGGCAGCATATTCGAGGGCTTGCTCCCGCCCGACATCCACATCTTTGCCACCACAGCAGCCAACGCGGAGGAGAGCAGTTGGGGCACGTACTGTCCGGGATGAACCCCCCTCCGCCCATTGAGTACGAGACGTGCCTGGGCGACCTCTACAGCGTCGCCTGGATGGAGGACAGGTGTGTCTCTTTCTGCTTTCTTACCTCCTCCCTTCCATCCTCTTTCTTCTCTTCCCCGTGCCTCTTCTTCGTCTGTTCTGCCGCCCCCCTTCTGGTGCTGTGTGCTGGGCGTGCAATATGAGGCGAGGCATGTGCTTCCCTTCCCGTGCCTCTCTATGCGTTATGCGTTGCCCCAGTGCTGTACAATACAGCGTTGCGTGCTGTACCAGCGCTGTACAGCATTGCATGGATGGCCACATGTATGAAGTAACGTTTTGAGACGTCTCAAACCATTGCTTCATACGCGTTGCGTGCTGTACCAGCGCTGTGCAGCATTGCGTGGATGTTGACTTTTGAGTCGACTCAAAAGTCAACTCGCTGTACAGGCATTGTGTGGATGTAAGGCTGGCGCTCGCCTCCCTTTTCGCCTTTCCTTTCCGACCGACCACCCATCCCTCATGCTATGTAGTTTCTCCACCCCAAGTCGTTTGTCCCTCGGCTTTTGAGGCGCCTCAAAAGTCCCTCGGATTCTTTTCCTCTCGTTCTCCTCTTCCCCTTTCGTCCGTCCACTCTCTCTACAACGCTGCAATCGCCACTCTCCCCGTTCCATTCCCCCATCGACACTCTCCCCGTTCCATTCCCTCATTATCACTATCCCCGTTCCATTCCCTCGTCGCCACTTTTCCTGTTCCATTCCCTCAATATCACTCTCCCCTCGTTCCATTCCCCCATCGACACTCTCCCCGTTTCCATTCCCTCATTGCCATTTTCCCCGTTCCATTCCCTCATTATCACTCTCCACGTTCATTCCCCCCCCCGCCATCGCCACTCTCCCCGCTCCATTCGTCATCGCCATTCCGCCCTCTCCACTATCCCCATCCTCTCCTCCTCTCTCTGTCTTTCCCCTGCCAGTGACATTAACGACCTCTCCCATGCTCTTCTCCCTTTCGTCCTTTGTCTCCTCCTTACACCCTTCCCTCCGCCCCCCCCCCCCCCCCCCCCCCCGTCCCCTCCGTTCCCCCCCCCTCCTCCGTTCTGTCGCTTCCCCCACTGCCAGTGATGCCAACGACCTCACACGAGACCCTTCGACAGCAGTACCACCTGGTATGTCGGTGTGTTGGCTCCTGCCATGGCCGCCCAGCCCCATTGCCCCTCCTCTTTCCGCCCCTGTTCCCCTCTTCTCCTGTTCCCCTGCGTTGTGCTCCTCCCCACTTCCTCCTCCTCGTGTGTGGTGTGTGAATGCATGGCCTTCAGTGATGTGAATGACCTCACTGAGGAGACGCTCTTCGAGCAATACCTTGTGGTGGGCTGCATTCATTCTCTCCACACGCAGATGCATACACCTCGCACACGCACGCGCGCGCACCACACACTCACACACACATGTGCTCCTCGCACGCGCGGCGGCACTCACACACACACAAGTGCGCTCGCAGGCGCGCGCACTCACACATTTTTGCGACACACACGAAACCTGCACTTACGTCCACCACCACCACTGCTCGCCCCCTGGTTGTGTCTCTGGCGTTTTAGGGACGTGACTGCGAACTTATCAGTGCAGGTTGCTGGCTTATTCAACATTGGCTGGCCCTATGTCACTCGCCCATGACTGCTGACATTTTTCCATCACTTACTCTTGAGATTTCTCCTCAGTGATTGCCTTCTGCCCTTGCCGGGTGAAGGAGTGCGCACATCCAATCATGAAACGCACGATGCCAGCTCGCACAGGAGAAGACTCTCGGCACCAACCCTGGGCTACTCCTGGGTTTCAGGCTTCCAACTTCCTGGGCTACTCACCCCTGGCTCCTGAAGCTCGTGCTAAACCACCACTTGCCTAGTTTTGGGGCGCCTCAAAGCTCCAATCACCTCTCTCTCCTCTCCCTGCCCAATTGGTTCCACCCTGCTTTCATGCCCTCTGCGTGTCGCAATAGGTCAAGGAGCGAACGTCCAACCACGGGACATACGACGCCGGCTCGCACGTGATGCTATACGGGGAGAAGGCTCTCGGCACCGACCCTGTTTCCGACTTCCTGGGTGACGCGTCCCTGGCTCCTGAAGCTGGTGCTAATAGCGAGGATGCTTATAACGAGGACGCGGGCATGACCCCATGGGTGCCGTTCAGTCTGACTGCGCTGCTGGGCAGGGGCTTTGGCAGGGGCCAAGGGGAGGGGTAAGGTGCTGTGCTGTCGGCGGGGCAGAGGATGTTTGCTGCTGGAGAGGCGGTTGGTGTGGTGGGGCAGCGCGATGCAGAGGTGCTGCACCTGTGGCACAAGGTGGGGCTCCCTTTCCCCGTTTTCCACTCACTCACTCACCCATTCACGCACGCACACATTCACTCACTCACCCATTCACTCTCGTTCGCATCTAGAGGCGGTTGGTGTGGTGGGCCAGCGCGATGCAAAGGTGCTGCACCTGTGGCACAAGGTGGGACTGCCGTCCTCCCTCCCTTAGTCCCTCCCTCCGTCCCTCCCTTAGTCCCTCCCTTAGTCCCTCCCGAATGGTCCTTCATTGAATATACCGTGTGATACAGCAAGGTAACTTGTAACGGCAATTACAGGCAAGCAGTTGTAGGGACCTAAGGCAGCTCGAAGTCAGGCTTCAGAACGGGTACAAGGTCACCAGTTTCAAGGGCCTCGTCCTGGGACGTCCCTCCCTCCCTCCCTCCCTCCCTCCCTCCCTCCCTCCCCCCCCCCCCTCCCTTCCCTCCCTCCCTTTCTTTCCTCCCTTCCTTCCTTCTGGCCTCACCTCTTCCCATCTTTCTTCTATCCCTCATCCTGTCCTTCACTATACGGGCAGTCACTGCTGTCTGCTTGCATAGCGAGTCCTCTCATACTGCGGGCGGGCGGTCACTGCTGTGTGCTGCACTGCTGTGTGCTGCTATATGGGCGAGGGGAGCATGGGAGGCTCAAGACGGACAAGAGTCATGACCCTGAACCTTTACCCTCCGCTGCATGACTCTTCGCCCTCTCCAACCCCCCATGCCCTTCCCCTCGCCCTTCAGTATACGAACGCCCAGAGTACTCGCTATGCAAGGAGACAGCAGTGGCCACTCTCAGCTAGACCTTTGCCCCACCCCCCCTAAAATAAGCCTGCCTCTTTTCTCTCTCAAATCCCCCATGTCCCTCCCTCCCTACGTCCTCATACCCCCCTGTTCTCATGCCCTTCCCCTCGCCCTTCAGTATAAGAACGCCCCAGAGGATTCACCGCGCAAGCAGGCAGCCATGGCCGCCCTCAGCGAGACGTTCACCCACCGCCGCCACGTGGACCAATCGGTGCGCGCCACGGTGGCAGCAGCGGTGGGTGAGGGGCGCGTGCAGGCTGTGCTGGAGGGCAGGCAGGCGGAGGGGAGGGCTCTGGTGGACGACTGGATGTGCCTGCGAGAGATGGTGAGTGATGGGTGGGTGACTAGGCATAGGCCCTTGGGACTCACCACAGTGTGTGGAGGCAGTGCTGCAAGGGATGCAGGCGGAGGGGAGGGCTCTGGTGGACGACTGGATGTGTCTAAGTGGGGGAGACATGTCTCATCACACGAGTAGTGTGTGATAGAGGGAGGCATCCCACACACCATCAAAGAGCCCACACAGGGGCTCTTGGGCTCTTTGATGGTGTAAGGGGGGGTGGATTTATCAAGTCTTCAATGATTGTTTCATCACACGAGGGCTGTGTGGAGGCAATTGTTTCATCACACGAGGGCTGTGTGGAGGCAATGTATACCCTTTCTACACTTCCCTCTTCCATTCCTGTTCAGGTGCGAGCATACGAGGCGAGCTGCGGGCGCATCACGCAGTACGGCATGAAGCACATGCGTGCATTTGCCAACCTCTGCAATGCAGCTGTGCCCGTTCACACCGTCGCTGCTGCAGCACAGGAGGCATGCCCTTCCGCCGCCAATGCTGTTCCCCCAGGGCTGCTTGTTGCGCCAGGAGGGGGTTTCTCGGTGTGACTTCTGGATGGCTTTTATGATCTGCGCTGCGTGCGGGCAGTATTCGCTCGGCCACATATCGTTGAGAGTGGTTATGCGGTCAGCTCTCCTGTGATGGGTTACAGGGGGGTGGTTACAGGAGGTGATTAACTGTTTTTAGTGCCATTGTAAATAGCAAGGTTGATCGCATGCTTGACTGTTGCTTGGGTGCTTCAGAGCTGGGTAGATAGGTCATTTACTGTACATCTGAAATGCAGTGAGATAATGGCATCGAATACACACTGAAATTTATGTGATGTGAGCAAGTTAGTGCAATGTAGTGTTTGATGTTCTTGTACACGGCTGATTGCTGCATCCTCTTATCTGACACAACGCTTGCCAGATTTCCCGCCAAAAGCGGCGTCTCGGAAGATCGCAGCCGCCTATCTCGAATTCCGCCCGTTCGGGTCCGACAGGAGCCTAGATCACCTCACTAGAGTCGAAAGCTTTGTACCATTCTGAAACTTCTGGTTACCGCAATGTACCGTTTGGTGACACCTCTGATCAGATGTGTCAGATTTTCGGCGAGACGGCGTGATTCACGGACAAGGGGGCGTGAGTTCGCCATTTTCAGGCTCACACTGCTGAGCCTAGGGCTAGGAGCGTTTTTAGCTGCCTCGGCTATTTAAGTTATTGGTTCTGGTCTCCGAAGACGACGGACAGTGCCGCTTGAATCTAGTTCGATTGTTAGCGTCTATCAACAAGCAGCAGGAGTGACGTGCAATACGGTGTGGTCACAGGAGCAATGGCGTGGCCAATCTACCTCTATCTTCCGAACATCGTCGGTCAGTGGCTAGTCCATGTTCTAGGTTCGCGGTGTACGCGTGAATAAATGGGTACATATTTAACTCAGGCTCGGAAACATGATGGTTGGTTTGGGTTTTAATCGCGAAACGCGAACTCTTACGGAAACATGGCAGATGTCACTACAAGTTAGCTTTCTCCCTTACTGCCTGAATCAGGCGTTGCGGCGGCGTTTGAGAAGCGTCAGCATATACAGACTCGTTTTTTACGTTATCCGCCTTGACACGCGCTAACCATAGCGTAATCGCGTCTGCGACTGACATTGTCTCTGTCGCGAATGCTTGTCATGTTACAGGATACTTTCGCATCCTGGCAAACGTGTGGGCCTTCGCCATCGCTCTGTCCAATCCCCGCCTCTTCGTTGCCCTTTACTTCTTCAGGTGAACATCCTTTGAAATTCATTGCTAAGGTGATTTTCTTCACGGATAAACTTACTTTTAACTAACCTTTTGTCTTCTTACTGAGTGCATTTGCCCTCAGCCGTAGTCCTCCTCTCAGCTAAGTTTCCCCTTAGTCTAGCGCTTCGTGCCTTAGGATGAATAGCATCTGGCACACTCGTCCAAACATCTGGTTAATCAACTCAAACCTCGCCATGTTTCCCTTTAGGCCTGCATTGATTTTTGAGTCGACTCAAAAATCATCTGGTTAATCATCTTAAACCTCGCCATGTTTCCCTTTAGGCCTGCATCGCATGCTGGCGTTTGTCACCCTCTTCCAGGCACTGATGACCTATTGCCCATTCGTCCTCGCTTTTCCCCTTCCTCCTCCTTCCGAATTTGCCATTTCCCCCGTATCCGTTTCCGTGAAGCTTCTTCTGCGATTAAGTGGACGGACGTTTTGCCACGTGGTTCAATCAGAGTGAGTCAATGCATTCCCCCTGTAACCCATGCCATGTGATGTGAGCGGCTTTTGAGGATTCTCAAAACTCATTCCTCATGTAACCCGTGCCTCCGCCTCCGCCTCCGCCTCCGCCATGCCTCCGCCTCTCCCATGCTTCCATCTCCTCGCGTGCATAAATACCCTCCCATTCGACGACTTTTGAGGCGCCTCAAAAGCCTCCGCCTATCCCATGCTTCCATCTCCTCGCAGGCATGAATACCCTCCCATTCCCTTCCGCCTTGTGCCTGCTCTCGTCCTCCTGCATCCTTCTTCCCTTCCTTTACCAATCCCTTCCTGCTCGCCGCGCGTTCCCACTTCTTGTCACGGTGCATCGCACCATCAGAGTGTCGATCCATCATGCCACCTCACCAGAAAATCATTGCAACATCGCATCATACCATCGCCCAATGTTGCCATCATGCCACCATACCTCCCTGCCCTCGCCCCTTCACCCCAGAGTCCACATTCGGCGCTGTTCTGGACATGGTCACTGGCAGGTGCGTGCCAGCTGCCACACGTACAGCATATCAAATTTGCTTGTACAGAGGTTTTCTGTGTCAGGCACCTCCCCGCCTCCCCACTGATGCACGTCGCCTTGACGCATTTACCCCGCTGACATCCTGTCCTATCATGCTATATCAGTCCTGTTCCATGCTGTACCATTCACGTGCCTCCATGCTCCTCCTCACTTAAGGAGTCGTTTTCTTTTTCCACTCTCTCTCTGTGCGTCCCCCTTCCTCTCTGCCGTTTCTCACTCCTCTACACCTCTCTCCTTCCTGCTGTCCTCCCTTTTTGCCTCGGTCTGTCCCGCTTTCCTAACTGTGTGTCAGAATGAGCACCACCTGCTTGCTGCTCATTCTTTCCCACCTCTACCCGTAAGCCATCATGTCATCTCACATGCTTCACATCGCATCACATCACATCACATGCATCATATCACATCACATCACATCACATCACATCACATCACATCACATCACATCACATCACATCACATCACATCACATCACGTCACATCACATCACATCGCGTCACATCGCGTCACATCACATCACATGCATCGCATCTCTCCCGTGTCTTTGAATAACGGCACTGCTGACTGACCACGTGTGCTCTTCTCTCCCGTGCCTCACCCATGCGGGTCTCTCACCCACCCCTCACCCATGCGGGTCTCTCACCCACCCCTCACCCATGCGGGTCTCTCACCCACCCCTCACCCATGCGTCACCTCCTCATCACCTGCTCGCAGGTGGCTCATGGGTGCATGCATGGCATTGCTGGTGCTGGACTTGACCAGCCACTGGTACCAGATGTACAGGTGGGCACTCAGATGGGTTACATCGAGGACACGGGGGACATGGGGGACATGAAGCATCCATATGGCGCATGCATGGGCATGAGTATTTTGTGTGTTGAGACGCACATGTGATGTAGCAACCGCGTTTACCTAACCCTCCTGCCCTTCCTCCCCATCCCCTTAGCCCATTCCTGGTGCACAAGGCCAGTCATTGCAGGAACAGACTCCGAGACATGTGAAGGCTCTGCCCTGCTGCCTTTCCTTCCCCTTTGCCATTTCCTCCCTTTCGGATCAGCTTATTTCCTGGTGCGCAATGGCAGCCACAACGACGTGGCAGCAGACTATGAAACGTGCTAAAGCCCCCATCCTGCCACTCGTCCCCTCTCGCGTCCCCTCCTTGCCTGCCTTTCCTCCCTGCTCCCATCGGCTCGTTTCTGGTGCACAAGGCCAGTCACGAGGACGCGGCAGCAGGATGTGAGGCATGTAAGGATCTACCATTTCCCCATACCTGCCCCCCTTGCTGTTCCACCATGCCCTCCCCTTCAGCTCCTTCCTAGTGCGCAAGGCAAGTCACAAAGACGTGGCAGCAACAGACTTTTGGCTCATGCGCTGGTACTACAGCAGCCGCCCCTTCATGGCCTACTGCTGCATCGGCGCTGAGGTGAGTTGGCAGTTCTGTGTGGGCTGCATGCTAGTGGCATGTCGTGCTGTGATGGTCACACTGCTGCCTCATGCGCTGGTACTACAGCAGCCGCCCCTTCATGGCCTACTGCTGCATCGGTGCTGAGGTGAGTTGGCAGTGCTGTGCGGGCTGCACCGTAGTGCCAGTTGCTTGTAGCATTGCGGTTGTGGCATGGCATGGCATGTGGTGCTATGCCTGCCTTCCACTGCTGCCTCATGCTCTGGTGGTACTGCGGCAGCCGCCCCTTCATGGCCTACTGCTGCGCTGTAATGGCAGTTGCTTGTGTCCACGTATGTACCTGCTTTTGAGTCGACTCAAAAGTCACGACGCATGTACCTGCTTTTGGGTCGACTCAAAAGTCACCACGCATGTACCTGCTGTGCATCATCCTTTGGTTTTCAGGCCCCTCCTTTGTTGCCTACGCCGATTCCCATACCTGTCTTCCCTCTATCCTCAGGCCTCTCGCCTCTCGCTGTATGTGCAGCTGCTGTACCTCGTGCTCTATCTCGACTCAGACCCACTCAACCAACAAGTGCAGGTATGCCGCATGGCATTCCGTCACGTCACTCTCTCATGCTGTACCCTCATTGCATTCCCTCATCGCATATCCTCGGTTCCACCTATCAGCACATCCTTTGCCCTATGCCTGCCCCTCGTGTTTCGAGTCAACTCAGAACGTACCCTCATTGCATTCCCTCATCGCATATCCTCGGTTCCACCTATCAGCACTACCTTTTCCCTATGCCTGCCCTGCCCCCTCATGTTGCAATGCAACCCCTTCTCTCCCCTCTCATACTCCACAGGTCTCCCTGCCTTACCTCGGCCCCACGGGGGTCATCCGAGCCCTGGGCCTGCTGTGTCTCCCTGGATGGGCGCTCAAGCAGATCACCAATGTTGTTCAGGTGAGAGGCCGGGAAGGGGGGTAGGATGGGTGAGGAAGCAAAGGGGGAATGGTGGGGAAAGGGGTTGCGTGAAGGGCAGGCGGATGGGCAGTACATAGAGGGCGGTTGCATGGAGGTGTAGGTGTTGCATGGAGCAATCTCCTTCAATCCGTATGCCTTGTGTATGATGAAGAATTGTTGTATGCTGAGAAACTCTCGTTGTTTCTTGCTTGTTTGTGTTTCCCACCAGCTAAAAACGGCGGCTGATGCATGTGTGGAGTATGACTTGGAGAAGACACGGAAAGCCTCGTAACAATAGATAAAACCAATTCTTGGTGATGTACACCACCGTCGTAGCACCACTTCCGACACCACCGTGCTGTAATAAGGGTGCATTCCGCTGTGGACCTGGTCCTAAAGAATGAGTCCCAATCACAATTTGGCCGAGTCGCCCTCAAATGTCTCGAGTCTGCATGTCCCAATCGATCGATGTATTGCGACTCTGCACAGACGCGCGACAATTATATGCAACTGATTGTGATTGGTCATATCATAAGCTGGCCCACTCGTCCATGCGCAGCACATACACCAACACCGCCAGGCCCTCCGAAGAGCATTGGTGATGTTGTCTAGATACATGCAGCATGAGTTGACATTTGGCACCGCGTGCGACAGATGGAATGCGTTGCAATTAGCTGGCGACTGTTCCGCGTTTCACGTCACCCAGTGATAAATACAGTTGGCGACAACCACGGGCGGCCTGGCTTTCTGACACCTGGCAGCATATGCTGTACGCACGCGTCACAATCAATTCGGACACTTTCTTTGGGACCAGGTCCACAGCGGAATGTACCCTAACATTGCATTATTGGTTCAGGAGAAGCACTTGGGTATTTTGTGGCCTTTGCAATGACAATGATTAGCAAAAATGACATTTCGACTACAACAAATTTTACGGTACGTTTGGGCAACATGCGGTACTTGTGGCTGAAGTCAGTGCCGCTCCTCTGCGTCCTGAAGTCGGCCATTTTCATAGCAAGGACGAGAACGAGGAATTCTCTGAAGAAGATTGACAATGCAAGAAGAGGAGCCAGATAATTCCCAGCCAACCATACCATACTACAGCTAGGCATTCACAACAACTGGTTTGTTGGATTGGATGCTCTGAGATCCCAAGTAAGCTACACAACTGGGCATAAAAAATGGATTGTCCCGATCCAAAAATATGTTAAAAGCCATCTTCCCTCCCATAATTGTTTCATGTGTTCGAACACATTTGTAAGCCAAGTATTTGATATATCAGTTGCTTGTAGCATTCTGTTATTTCAAGAAAGTGTAATTGAGAGTGCATCCGCTACACTTCTGCTTATGATGCAATCATGGCTGGTTCCTGCGGTTTCCACTGCAAATTGCTGTTAGTCAATGCAATGTTATCACATAGAACCGCCAATTAGCACGCAGTGTTTCGATCCTCCATCGCTATTCGCACCGCGCCTCGCATACGCGGCTCGAATCTCATTTCACCTTGAATGTCGTCGTTTGGCGGCGACGAAATTCGCCCCCTTTTGACGCACACAACCCTCCCCCTCCCCTTGCATACCATCCCCCATCCATCTCACCCATGTCGTGCTCATCAGTTCTTCCTACAAGGCATGCTGTGCTAGCGTTCGCGAAACATGTTCAGAGTGACCTCGCCTAACCACCGTCAATCCCACCCAACCCATACGCTTTGCCAAAATCAAATTACGGCATACGGAGACATCGCGGCGCTTCGTTGCTCGTCACTGCTGGACTTAGCTCCAGCCAACGCCCAGCCCTGGGTTTGACGTAGCGCCTCGAATCCTGACCCGACCCGACTTTATTCTGCCCCCAACCAACTTGCTTGCCCAACAACCGCAACCGGCCCAAGACGAACGGCCAGCCCAGCCCTGGGCTTGTGTCGTTGTGTGACTCTAGTGCGTTTCGTGTCGCGTCGGGGGACGTGGTTCCGAATGGCTGCACTCATGCGCGCCCGCTATTCTGGTTTGGCGCACCCCTGGTGGTTGTGGTTGTTGGATCGCACAAGGAAAGTAGTTTCGTCTATCATAGACGAAGCCAAGCCAAGGTGTTCAGTGTTCACTCACAGGCCTACCGTCCCACCGTCAGAATCTGGGAGCCTAGCTCCTTAGAAATCACGTCCACCTCTCCTTTCGTCCCTCTCAGCCGTCCTTGGCCATTGTTAAGTACGTGAGCCGTTGTGATAAGAAGCTCCGTTCTCATTTCATACTCTCCTCCGTTCCCTTCCTCTATCTCGCTCCCTCGCGTGTGTCGAGACGCGCATTAAGACCAAACAAGCCCAGTTGCCGTCCGTTTCCCCCGAATCTCCTCATTCCGTGTCGCATGCGAGTTGATACCACCGGTCGGAGCTGCCCAGCCTGCCACGCTCAACTCCTTTCACTAACAGTGACTCTAACGGAGTGGATTTCTCGACCGTTAGCGGTACCTGCTCACTCCAACGAACATCGAGCTTCTCCCTACCCTCGCGCTCGATATACTTTAAGCGGCGAGGCTACTCACCGGCCCCTTCAGCGACGACGAATTGCGGCTCGCAGCTCACTGAAGAACTCATACAGAGGCACTGAACTTAGCTTTGGCGAGTTTCATTTCCAAAACTCCTAGTTGTCTCAGATGGGGAGGCATGGCGGTAGACGGCAACTTGGCGGGCGCGAGGAGCAAATCGCTTGTGGTCTCGTCTTGACGGCTGTATTCTTCTCCTTAGGTGCGTCTAGTCGAATCGGCGGTGTTCCCGCTGTCTTCATGGTGATCTGTTCTCATCAGGTGCGTCTACTAATGCGCTTTTGAAACATGGCGCGCATGGCACGCGGGTTGCATCGCGAGCATATAATCCATTGCATGCACGAATGCTGCTCCGCATTTTTCAGTTATTAAAGAGCTCAATCCCCTGCAGATCTGTCCTCTATGACCCCGCATTTTAGCATAATCGCATTTATTGATTGTTCTCTTCGTTTTTCTCCACCATCGCAGGCGTCGCAGCAGCAGCGCCAGGCGAGAGCAAGGGGCTGTATCTCGTGCACATGACGTCAGCGCCGCCGGTCGTCGCATACCGCGGAGGGATCGCGGGACTCACGGCGACGGCGGTGGCGGAGGAAGACGAGCCTTCCCCAGGCCGGACTCACCGGGGGAGCGCGGGGGTCATGGCGGGCCAGGCGCGCGCGGGGAGGGGTCCGCGGCAGCTGCGCCCGCGCGCGGACGACCCGCATGTGCGCGCGTACGCGCAGCACCTGACGTCGCTGCACGAAAGGACTCTCACTTCCGTCGGTCTTGCGTCAACCAGTATGGTGTACAGGTATGACGTGGCATACACACTTGATGACGTGGTATGTCTACGTTATGACGTGTAATGCCAGTTAGACATTTGCTGAAAAGATGACGCGCCACGCTGCATACATACGATGTGTGATGACGTCCAAGCAACTGCGCACGTGTCACCATCTCATCCACGCATCTTCTTACATCTCCTGTTCCCTCTTTCCGCGCTTCGTTGCCCAAGTTGTCTCGTTTTCCCCGTTCTTTTTCTCCCCCACCACTTCCCCCCCACCTCCCTCCTCAGCTACAATTTTGCCGCCAATTCCTTCTGCGCGGAACTCACCCCCACGGAGGCGCAGCAGCTGCGCGCGCGCCCGGACGTGGGGCGCGTGGCGCGCGGGCGCAAGGTGCGCGCGCTCACGACGTACTCCCCGCGCTTCCTCAAGCTGGGCGCACCGAAGGGCGCGTGGGAGGCGAATGGGGGGAAGATGAATGCGGGGGAGGGCGTGGTGGTGGGGATTCTCGACACGGGGATTTGGCCCGAACACCCGTCCTTCGCGAATCAGGTACGAGGGCGTTTCTACCATCAGTTTGCGGGGGTTTCAACGCGCGACGATCAGGTTGCGCAGTGCAATGTGCCGAGCAACATCACTCTCCACCCCCGCCTACCCCTCCCACACCACCGCTCCTTCCTTCCCGCCACAGGGCTATGGTCCCCCACCCAAGCATTGGAAGGGAACATGCACGGGGCTGAAGAAGTGCTACGGCAAGATCGTGGGCGCGCGCTACTTCCTCTCCGCATCCTGACCCACCCTCATGCGCCCTGACCCACCCTCATGCGCCCTGACCCACCCTCATGCGCCCTGAACCCCCTCGTCCCCTTTCATAGGGCTACGGTCCCCCACCCAAGCACTGGAAGGGCGCGTGTACCGGGCTGAAGAAGTGCAACGGCAAGATCGTGGGCGCGCGCTACTTCCTGTCCGCGTACGAGCGCGAGTACGGCAAGATAGCTCGGGGGGAGTACCGCTCTGCGCGCGATGCTGGCGGCCATGGCACGTGGTGTGCGGGGTGAGTCACGGGGGAAAGGGGTAATGGGAGCGGGGGGTTGTATGGGTGTCTGAAGGTGATAGTATGGGTGTATGGATAACAAGTGAATGTGATAGTATGGGTGTATGGATAACAAGTGAATGTGATAGTATGGGTGTATGGATAACAAGTGAATGTGATAGTATGGGTGTATGGATAACAAGTGAATGTGATAGTATGGGTGTATGGATAACAAGTGAATGTGATAGTATGGGTGTATGGATAACAAGTGAATGTGATAGTATGGGTGTATGGATAACAAGTGAATGTGACAGTATGGGTGTATGGATAACAAGTGAATGTGACAGTATGGGTGTATGGATAACAAGTGAATGTGACAGTATGGGTGTATGGATAACAAGTGAATGTGACAGTATGCCACCCAACCCCATTTTTGACTTTTGAGACGTCTCAAAAGTGAATGCGATAGTGTGGCACGCGCCCGCATTTTCGCTGCATGCCCTTGGCTTGACACTCAAACTTTTACAGAGATCCAGGAGGCAGCAAAGGAGGCAGCAAGGGAGGCGTGCACACTGAGTGCTTACCGCTGTTCTTCCCTCCTCTTTCCCCTTTTCCCCTTTTTCCCATTCCCTCAACCCCTTCTTCTCCGCCCCCCCCTGCCCCCGCTCTCCCCCCCCCCCCCCCCCCCCCCCCCCCCCCCCCCCCCCCCTTCCCCCCCTTCCCCCTTCCCCCACCTTCCGCCTTCCCCTTTCCTTCTCCCCACACAGGGCGGCGGTGGGCAACAGCGGGGTGGTGCTCACAGAGCGCGACGGCACGCCCATCGGGACAGCCAGTGGCATGGCGCCACGTGGCAGGCTGGCAGTATACAAGGCGCTCTGGTACAACGGGTCAGAGGGGTACGGCCACGACTGCGACATCTTTGCAGCCGTTGATCAGGCCGTCGCGGATGGTGTGGATGTGCTCTCCATGAGCATTGGATCGGGGGAAGACACCTACTTTGGGGACCTGCCTCTCCTGCGTGCTGCAGAGGTGAGAGTGGTGAATATGAGAGTGCTGCAGGTGAGAGGGTGTGTGGGTGTGGGAGGGGTATGGGAGGGTGTGAGAGTGTGGATGTGCTCTCCATGAGCATCGGATCGGGAGAGGATACTTACTTTGGCGACCTGCCCCTCTTGCGCGCAGCAGAGGTAAGACCTGCTGACCTGACACTCTCCCAACCTGACATTGAGCGCATCTCAAAGACAAAAAGTTAATAATATTAAGAACTTCTTGTGTCTTTTTTTTCTTCTTCTTTTTCTTTTTTCCTTTTCTTTTTCTTTTCTGTACAAATTGAACCCATCCTTCTCTCCTCCGCAGGCTGGCGTGTTCGTGACCCTAGCGGCGGGTAATGCGGGGCCGCCAGGTATGGGCGGCGCATATCGCACCATCAGCAACACGTCGCCATTCTATCTCACAGTCGCCGCCAGCACCACGGATCACGATGCCGCCATGCTCTACGAATTGCGCGCCGCTGGCTCTTCCGGGGATAACTCGTCGTACGCGCCACAGGGTGACTCAGCTGCCGCCAAACGCGGACTCCTCTCCCATGCGACTCGGCCACGGACCCTTCAAGCCGTTTATGAGGCGCCGGTGATCGCGCCGTTTTCCTCGGCGGGACCGCCGCTAAACCCCTCGCGTCCGCCGCCCGCCATGCTGCAAGTAACTAACGACATCCTTAAACCGGATGTTACTGGGCCGGGAATGGATCTAGTAGCTGCTGCTGCTGGCGGGACAACTAAAGACGCATGGTACACCATGAAAAGCGGCACGTCGATGTCTACTCCCCAACTAGCGGGGATCGCGGCGCTCCTCATTCAAAAATACCCCAACTGGCGACCCGCGGCAATTAAATCGGCGATAATGACAACTGCGTATAAAATGAACAATCGCGGAGGAATTATGCGAACGTTTATGGGGACGCGTGCGACGCCATGGAATTTTGGATCGGGGCACGTGAATACCTCGGCGATGCTCGACCCTGGGCTCGTTTACGACGTTGGGCGAAACGGTTACTTCAACTTCCTCGCCGGCGTAAACAAGGCTGCTGCAAACAAGGCATTTCCGGCGAAGCGGCTGTCGCCGATCAAGCCGTGGAGTCTGAACCAACCGAACATCTGCGTTTCGCGACTGAAGAACGTGGTTACCGTGACGCGCACAGTCACGAGTGTCACGGCGAAGGCGCAAACCTACCAAGCGCAGGTTCGCATGCCTGCGAATGTGGACGTTCAGGTTACACCGAAGCAGTTCACGATATTGCCGAAGCAAACGGTTACATTCCAGGTAAAACTAACTCCGAAGAAGAATACAAATCAGTTTTCATTTGGGGAACTGGTGTGGTCAGATGGTAAGCATAGGGTAAGATCCATCTTAGCAGTACAGCCCATGGCAGCATTGTGAAAGTATCATTGCACAGCTTTCTTGCAACTCCTTGTTGCAAGTGCTCTTTGTGAATAAAGGATGCAGTATAGCACTTGCATACCATCATGGATGAACTGTACTATCCCAATATCACTCAAGTAGTTGTAAGAGCCTACAACAGGAAGTAATAACATGTACTACCTGCTGTACATTCTTGCAGCCACTCACAGCCTCCGGCCCATACTGATCCCACACAAATCCCCAATCCAGATCCCATGCAAACCACACAGACTGATTCAAAACACGCACCACCAAACGGGCCCCACCTAAGCAGGAATGGGCAGCTCCTGACCGTTGAAGGCGGAGTAGCGGCAGTCAGTGGCGGTGACGGTGCTAGTCTCATAGTCCTTCACCTGCCCGTCCAGAAAGCCCTTGCCCTCCGCGCCATCAGCGGACACGGGGTGGTGCAGCATCGCAGCGAGCCGAGAAAACTCCACCGTGCGCGCCTCCCTGCCGCCGCGGTACGTCTGCCCCATCACACCATGCACGCTGCTGCTCGGGTTCGCCTCCTGAAACATCACATTAATATGCACCTGGGCGTCATCAGGTGTCTGCAACAGAGGGTGCGCGGGGCGCAGCTTCAGGTCCAACTCCAGGAGCCCCTTGATGCTCAGATAATAGTGGTCCACGTCGTACGGCCCGGTCTTCTCCTCTCCCACGAACTCGAGCGCCGCCTTGCCGCCAGCCAGGGTGCGCACCTCACCGGGAACAAGGCGGGGGAGGGGCCTGCCGTCAAGCTCCACAGAGGCAAGGAAGCCGGACTTGCCACGCAGCTGCTCCTTGCCGTCACGCGCCGTCAGCACCAGCGAGTGCGTTACGGCGGCAGTAGCAGGCTTAGCGGACACAATGCTGTCGCTGTCGGCGCTGTCATCGGTCCACAAGAAGGCCAGCTGGCGGATCCAGGTGCGCACGGCGGAGCCGTTGACGATAAGGGCGGCATTCTGCGTGAAGCGCGAGTCGAGGTACCCGCGCATGCCCATGTTCACGTGCACTGCACGGTCCGTGTACAGGCAGAAGTTTTTTTCGGGCAGCCCGTTAAAATCGAATTTGGTGCCGTGCGCGCCCAGGAAGTGCGGGTCGTTTTCTCCGAACGGGCAGCGCTTGCCAACGCGGACCTTGTGCTTGGTGGTACCGCTGGTTGAGCCGGTTAGGTTGAATTTGACAGGCTTGAGACTGTCGATTGCTGGGAGTAGAACACAGGAGCCGTTGGATCTGCGGATAGAAACGGGGCGGAGGAGGGAATGGCAAAAAAGAAAGACAGATAGGGAAGAACGATATGTTCACAAGTTGATACACGTGGACTCAGAAAAATATAAAGACGGGAGCATGGAAAATGATGGTTAAGGACTTAAAGTGAGTCCACTGAAGGGGATGTTCTACTAATGGATTGTTCTGTGATACGAACGGAATGAGCTACTCACGGGACGTGCACCCAGAAGCGGCAGTTGAAGGGCTCGCCAGAGGCAGTCGCGTTGGTGCTCTTGCACAGATCGCAGCAGTCCCTCGCGTGTAAGGTCTCCGAGTCGCCGCCCCCCACGCACCACGCCTTATCTGCCTCTACAGGCACGCCTCCCGCAGCCGCTGCAATGCTCGCACACTCGCTGTATTGGGGGATCCGCCAGTAGTCCAGCGACCCCGCGTTATCGTCACACTTGCCACGGTCACATGCAGGAGAACCACCTGAAGAACCACCTGAGGACCCGCCTGAGGAGCCACCGCCGCTGTTGCCGCCCTGATTGTCGTTGCAAGGCCGTCCGTTGCTGCCGCCGCGACCGCCGCCGATGCCGATCCCGACCGAGACGCATCCGCTGACGCCCAGGCCTAATCCGAACCCACGGCCTGCACGCCTGCTAGCAGCGGCGCCGGTGCGAACCGCAGCGCTTGCCGCGGCGCTGGCGCTTCCCTTGATGCTGGCTGCTGCTGCTTCGGCTGCTGACGATGCCGCCATTACGACGAGGAGGGCGGCCATTAGGAAGAAGGGCTGGACCGAACGAGCCATGGTTTGCGTTGGAGTAAGAGGCTAAGGGGGAGATCTGTAGAGCCGTTTGCCTATTTCGATATGACGCGAGAGAGGTGGAAAGGGAAGAATGAATTGGCTTGAACCCGGGATGATTTCCTGCCAGGAAAAAGATACGTCGAAGTGAATCTCGATGTAGGCTTGATCGATGATGAGACTGGCGGGTCGAACGGTATTTATACCGCACGGACGACACGACGCGGATGACGCGATTTGGAGCGGCTGGGGCCACTTTGTTCTTAGTAGGCGCCGGCCCTGGCGCCTCATGGCGGCTTCGAAAGGCTCTGTAGGATCAGCCATCGTCGAATGTCAACGCCGTTTTTGGCGGTGTTCTAGATATCTAGGGTGAAAGCAAGCTCAGGAGGAAGTGGAATCGGTGACTTTGTGATTGTGAAGTACAAGTGGGTGGCAGAGGTCGAGATTTGTCAATGGGACGGCGGAGAATGTTGGAGAACCTACTACTGACGCAAGGGGCTGTCCACCATGCTGGTTTCAAATTCTTATGGAAGATCTCAGCGGAAACGGGTCGTCAGGCCTGACGACCTGTGTCGACCTGTCGACCTGCTGCCCCGGGCAGAAAAAAACTAAAACCCCATCGGATGGCATGCCATCCGAGGGAGCCTCAGGGAACGTTCCTGGCCGGTGTCAGGCAGGCTGACACGAAGCTGTGAAGGGTCTCGATTCGATTGAGGATGATGTGGAGCGATCGCAGCCGTCAGTAGCCTTGTGTCAGGGAACTTGACACCGGCCAAGAACGTTCCCTCAACCCTAAAGCCGGCGCCTAGAATGGCAAGGGTTCGCAAATACTGAACTTGAAAAGTGTTGCGCGAAGGTTGACGAGAGAAAAATTCGCCGGGGGAAGGTGGCGAAAGCGGAATGCCCTACAGCGTATCGCAACTTCAACTTCAAATTCCCGAAACCAGAACAAACACTAACGACAAAACCAAACCCAACCACTCTCACGCAGCTCCCAACCCGCATTTTCGCCAAGTCCGCAAGCACACCACTCTTGGTGTAACACCTCGCTACCCACTGGGTCAAAACGAGGGTGTTATTTGGCGCAGCGGAATGCCCATTAACACTGCCCGCAGGCGTTACACTCGTCCCCCTCTGGAGCCAACGTCCTTGTTGGGCAGGGAGTCGGCCATCGCAAGGACCTGAATCTCGCTCTTCAGCGACTTCGCTGGTGGGCCAGGCCAGCGGCGGATTGTTCACTTGGTTCGCGACTGGCACATTCAATGTGACCCAGCCGAGAATCGAACCTGGCTCTGATACCAAATGTAACACCTCGCTACCCACTGGGTCAAAACGAGGGTGTTATTTGGCGCAGGGGAATGCCCATTAACACTGCCCGCAGGCGTTACACTTGGAGCAGCCTGAGAAAAGCGAGCGAAGTCCACATAGAGCATCGGTGTTAGGAAACTAGTAAGTATCCAGAGTAAATTAGCTAGGTATAAGACGTAAGAATATATGCTTTTATGCCGGAATCGAGAGGAATCCGAGGATATTGGGAGGGAATGTGGGGCGAATGCGAGTGTGAAGCTCGGAGATATTGTGCGGCACGAGATGAGAAATTAGAGCGTTGTCGACCTCGCTTTCCCCGTCCATCGATCTCTCGCATCCACGGTCCTTCAATCACTCGCATCCACCGTCCGTCGATCTCTCGCATCCACCGTCCGTCGATCTCTCGCATCCACCGTCCGCCGATCTCTCACATCCACCGTCCGTCGATCTCTCGCATCCACCATCCGTCGCCACAACTTCCCCCGCCCATCACCCTCGCTTCCCTCGCTCATCGCCCTCGCTTCCCCCTCCCATCGCCCTCGCTCCCCCCTCCCGTCGCCCGCGCTTCCCCCTCCCGTCGCCCTCGCTTCCCCCTCTCGTCGCCCTTGCTTCCCCCTCCCGTCGCCCTCGCTTCCCCCTCCCGTCGCCCTCCCATCCCCCTCCCATCCCCCTCCCATCCCCGTCCCATCCCCGTCCCATCCCCGTCCCATCCCCGTCCCATCCCCCTCCCATCCCCATCCCATCCCCGTCCCATCGCCCTCCCATCCCCCTCCCATCCCCCTCCCATCCCCCTCCCATCCCCATCCCATCCCCCTCCCATCCTCCTCCCATCCCCCTTCCATCCCCCTCCCATCCACCTCCCATCCCCCTCCCATCCCCCTCCCATCCCCCTCCCATCCCCGTCCCATCCCCGTCCCATCCCCCTCCCATCCCCGTCCCATCCCCGTCCCATCCCCGTCCCATCCCCGTCCCATCCCCCTGCCATCCCCCTGCCATCCCCCTCCCATCCCCGTCCCATCCCCGTCCCATCCCCGTCCCATCCCCGTCCCATCCCCGTCCCATCCCCGTCCCATCCCCCTCCCATCTCCGTCCCATCCCCCTCCCATCGCCCTCCCATCCCCCTCCCATCCCCTTCCCATCCCCGTCCCATCCCCGTCCCATCGCCCTCCCATCCCCCTCCCATCCCCGACCCATCCCCGTCCCATCCCCCTCCCATCCCCCTCTCATCCCCCTCCCATCCCCGTCCCATCCCCGTCCCATCCCCGTCCCATCCCCGTCCCATCCCCCTCCCATCCCCCTCCCATCCCCCTCCCATCCCCCTCCCATCCCCCTCCCATCCCCCTCCCATCGCCCTCTCATCCCCCTCCCATCCCCGTCCCATCCCCGTCCCATCCCTTTCCCATCCCCCTCCCATCCCCCTCCCATCGCCCTCCCATCCCCCTCCCACCCCCCTCCCATCCCCGTCCCATCCCCGTCCCATCCCTTTCCCATCCCCCTCTCATCCCCCTCCCATCTCCCTCCCATCGCCCTCCCCTCCCCCCCTGCCCATTCTCTCCCCTCCTACTCGCTCTGTTCCTCTCTGCTCACCCTCTTCCCCCCTGCTTGCTCTGTTTCTTCCTGTTTGCTCTCTCTTCCTTTCGCCCCCCATCTCCAACCACGCAGTTTACATGTCCCAGGCTCCCAGCACCACAGGCCAAGGTTGCATGCAGTGTAGCAAACAAGAATGGGGAAAAAACAGTACATTTCCTAGCTGTCTTTTTTCGTGTCAATAATCACCTGTGAACTTTGTTGCACTTTTTTGTGGTGGTCATTTGCATGGCTGCTCCTCAGCTGAGAGTTTGTATCATAACAAAGCATCCAAGGTCCAAACATTGCATGGCAAGTCGTTATCGTACTATCCAACTGCCAGCCAACACATCACCACAGCACCAGCACTGATGTGTAGCGGACCTTTACAAACACAAATCAGGAAGATGTGAGATGGCTGAGCAGCAGGGAAGCATACGGTGATGGCATGTGGGACTTTGACCTCCCAACTACAGCATTCACTATGGCAACCCCCCCTGTAGGAGGCCACTACCTCAGTGTCAGGAGTGTGTGGTGAGCCTGTGGTTGTGGGCGTGAGAGCTCTCGAGCGTTGGAAAGGCAGTCAAAGTGAACCACCACTTCCTCTGTGAGGTTGGACGCTGCTGCCGCCGGCAGCATGGGGCATGGGGCATGTGGCACAGGGCAACAGAGGGTCGGAAGAGGGCACGAGGGATGAAGGGGAGAAAGGCAACGGAGGGGCAAACCAGGGGGGGAATCGGAGGGACGGGAGCTGCGAAAAGGGAAAAAGATGGAGACAAGAGGGGAAACGGATCCAGCACACGGGGATACGGAGCAACGAACAAGGGGGGAAATGGAGGGAAGGACTTGGGCGAAAGGGAGGGAGAGACCAGTAACAGGGAGGGAAGAACAGGGGGGAAAGGGAGGGAGAGCTGTAGTGGGGAACCCAAGGGATGGACAAGGGTCTTGAGAAGGGGGAAGTGGGAGAGGGGCTGAGGAAGGAGGGGCGAGAGGGGCCGAAAGGAAACGGAGGGGATGAGCTTAGAGGGATTGGACGAGAGATGCAGATAGGGGAGTGGCGACGACAAAATAGCGAGGGACGTATAGAGAGGTCACCAACCACGCTACCATGTCGCGCCTAGGGGCAGCAGGGGCGAGTGGAGTTGGGGAAAAGCTGAGGTGAGGGTGAGGGGGGCCAACCGGAGAGAGGTGGTAAGAAGGAGGATGTAGGTAGGAACCTAGGACAGTGAGTTTTGGGAGGATTGGTGGGGAGATGGACGCGAGGGATGGGAATCGAGAGAGACGTAATTGTGAAGGTGAGATGGGCGGGGAGGCATGGGAGGAGGGAGGGAGGGTGGGAAGGGCTTGAGGGTAGAGCGGGAAAGGAAGCTAGGAGAGAGATGGAAAACAGAGGTGACCGCGAGAGAGGGAAGGGAGGGTAGGAGCAGAGGTTGGAGGAGGGGAGGTATGGCAGGGGTGGAGCGAGGTAGAACGGGGGAGGAAGAAAGGTGAACCGAAGTAAGGGGGATTGGTTGGAAGAGGAGAAGAGGCAAAGAGAGTACGGGCCATGGGGTATGGTGTATGGGTATTGGGGCATGGCGCAGGGAGAATGTGGCATGGGGCAAAGGGAGGGAGAGACATGGGGTATAGGGCATGGGGATCGGGGCAACAGAGGGCACGACACGGGTGGAAAAGGAGGGAAACAAGGGGGAGGAACGGTGGGACGAACTATAGAGGAAGGGAGGGAGGGTAAATGGGAAAAGCGCATGAAAGGACATGGGGGAAAGGAAAAGGGGAGAGGCAATGAGGGAAGGGGCGAGAGGCGGAGAGGGTTGGGCCCAAAGGGAAGGGAGTGACGGGACGGGAGCGACGTGGGCGACGTCTCCCATTCCCTTCCGCCTCCCATTCCCCCCCTTCCCCCCCTTCCCCCCAACATTGACAATGCCACATAGCCACGCAAACACGCCGCCATCACCTGCACCCTGCGTCACGGGGATGCACGCAAGTTGCATTAGTGGTAGACGGAAGCGGTGTGAGAGGGAGGGGGTGTGAGAGAGGGAAGGGAGGAGTTGGATAGTGAGGAAAGCAAGTGACTGGAATGATAAACAGGATTGATGTAGGCAACAGAAGGGAGTGAGTGAGGCAGGAGGGAAGAGAAGGCTCTTCAGTCCCCTCCCAACTCCTCCCGGAGAATGGACAGATGGAAGGAAGGAGAGAAGACGAGAGGGAAAGGAAGGAGAGGGGACGAGTGGGAGGGTAGGCGAGGCGAAGACAGAGAAGGGAAGGAGGGGGACAGAGAGGGAAGGGAGAAGAGGAGCGGAGAGGGAAGGGAGGAGAGGAGCGGAGAGGGAAGGGAGGAGAGGAGCGGAGAGGGAAGGGAGGAGAGGAGCGGAGAGGGAAGGGAAGAGAGGAGCGGAGAGGGAAGGGAGGAGAGGAGCGGAGAGGGAAGGGATGAGAGGAGCGGAGAGGGAAGGGAGGAGAGGAGCGGAGAGGGAAGGGAGGAGAGGAGCGGAGAGGGAAGGGAGGAGAGGAGCGGAGAGGGAAGGGAGGAGAGGAGCGGAGAGGGAAGGGAGGAGAGGAGCGGAGAGGGAAGGGAGGAGAGGAGCGGAGAGGGAAGGGAGGAGAGGAGCGGAGAGGGAAGGGGAGGAGAGGAGCGGAGAGGGAAGGGAGGAGAGGGGAGATGGGAACATGTGTGAGCATGTCGTGTGTGTCGTGTGTGAGTGACGGAGCAAGATGGGAAGAGGAGGAACGGGGGGGGGGGGCGCAAAGGGGGAAGAGGGGAGAGGAGCAGATATGAGCGACATTTGTTAGAGTCGTGTGTGTTACGTGTGAGCGACATGTGCGAGCGATGTGCGTGGGTGACGGGAGTCAGAGGGCGACAGTCAGTGAGAGAGCGAGGGAAGTGAGAGCGCGATGGAAGTGAGAGAGCGACGGGAGTGAGAGAGCGACGGGAGTGAGAGCGCGACGGGAGTGAGAGAGCGACGAGAGTGAGAGCGCAAAGAAGTGAGAGACCGACGGTAGAATGAGCGCGACGGGAGTGAGAGAGCGACGAGAGTGAGAGCGCGCCGGAACGAGAGAGCGACGGGAGTGAGAGAGCGACGGGAGTGAGAGAGCGACGGGAGTGAGAGCGTTGCGGGAGTGAGAGAGCAACAAGAGTGAGAGCTCGACGGGAGAGAGAGTTTGACGGGAGAGAGAGTTTGACGGGAGAGAGAGAACGACGGGAGTGAAGACGACGGGAGTGAGGGCGGGCCTTGAGTGATTGCGGGCCGGCATTGAGTGCGGGCTAGGATAACCTTCAGGGCGACGAGTGATTCTCACGGTGGCGTCTTAGAACTTAGGCTAGGAAGCAATGAGACGATTAGGTCAAAAGGGGGGGGGTAAAAGAAAGCATGTCGAGTGAAATGTTGTACCCCCTAGTGCTACCCCACTACAGCCTAGACAACCTAACACTCATATATATAATTTGACACACCCCCATAGGCAAAGTGGGGGAGAACAAGGGGTCACAAGACCAGTCAAGAGAAGCAAAACAAGCTCAGGGTGGATCACAACGTCACCACACACTCTGAGCACAAGTAAAGGGCCACAAGGCCAGTTCGCATGCAGAGATATATATGCGACAAGAACAGTACAGTGATCACTACCTAGCAAGAACAAGCATGCAGGTATATATATATATATATATATGTATCACAGTACAAGCAAAGTTTACAGCAAGTGTGGAAACGTAGGCACAAGGCCTAACAAAGTACAAAAACGCTGATGATCACCAGACGGAAGTGCCTTGGTGAATATATCAGCAGTGTTGGCCCGAGTGGCCACGTGTGCAAGACGAAGCTGACCATGCTGCTGCAACTCTCGAGCCAGGAAGTAACGCAGAGCGATGTGCTTCGTTCTGTGCTCCAGTCTGTGCTCCTCACACAAGGCAATGGCAGCCTTGTTGTCGACGTACAGAACTGGAGGAGAACGAGGCCTCTCTCCCAAGTCGGTCAGCAGGTAGGTGAGCCAACGTAACTCCTGAGCAGCCATGGCTGTGGCGTAGATCTCAGCCTCACAACTGGAGCTGAGAACAGAAGACGAGCGAGTAGAACGCCAAGAAACAGAACCAGAGCCAAGGCTGAAAGTGTAACCCTGTGACGACCGCTGCGTAGCCTGGTCGTCAACCCAAGAAGCGTCTGAGTGCCCAGTGAGGACCACCTCTCGCCGTCCTCCAAGCACGAGCCCCATGCCCGATGTACTGCACAAGTAGCGCAGTACCCTCTTTGCAGCATCCCAGTGCACCTTTCGGTGCCGACTAGGAGCCACGTAGCGAGCCAGAAGGCCAAGAGGGTACGCAAGGTCAGGACGAGTGCAAGTCATCAGGTACATGAGGCAGCCCACTAGCTCTGGGTAAGGACCACTCGGCTCTACGGACTCGTCCGAAGGTGGAGCTGAGAGCGAGTGACCTGTAGCCAGAGGAGTGGACTGTGGCGAGGACCAGGTGAAGCCGAAGCGCTGAAGGACCTGCTGCACCATGTGTGACTGAGTCAGTGTGATGGTGCGGTGTGAGCAGTCCCAGGTGATCTGCAAGCCAAGGTAGCTGCGCAGTTCACCCAGGTCTGTGCACGTGTGTCTCTTCTGCAACTCGGACTTCACCAGGGCGAGGGCCTCAGTGTCAGCAGTAGCAAAGACCAAGTCGTCGACGTACACGAGGATATAGAACGGCGGCAGCGAAGTGTCGGTGCGCAGAAACAGTGACGGGTCAGCAGTCGAAGGCGCAAACCCAAGAGCCGCAAGTGTAGTCCTCAGTGTGTCGTGCCACTCACGCGGTGCCTGGCGGAGACCATAGACTGGCCGGCGGAGGCTCCACTGGGTACCAGGAGGGAACGACCCAGTGAAGCCAGGTGGGCGGCGCAGCCAGATCTCCTCGTGCAGGCTGCCCTGCAAGAAAGCCGTGCTGAAGTCAAGAGAGTGAAGCTCGTAGTCACGCTGGGCGGCAACGTGCAGCAGCACCCAAAGAGTAGTCATCTTCGGGGTGGGGGAGAAGGTCTGGAAGAAGTCAACTCCCTCTCGCTGACTGAAGCCTCGAGCAACGTAACGAGCCTTGAAGACAGGCGGAGAACCTGGTGTTAAACTGTATTATGCTTGTAGGCTGTAGTGGGGTAGCCAATATGGGGTACAACCCCAACT